TAAATTTAAAAGCCAGTATTATTTTACTTTTGATTTGTAAGCCCCATTTTTTTCTATATGATTTAAAAGACAAATGCATTGGTTTCATACATTTGTCTCTTAAATCATATAGAAAATAATATGAATCTATAGTGGACACATATGATGTAAAAAAGTTGTGACAATAACAGCATAAAGGAAAAGAGAGCCACATAGGAACAGTTATTTATACTATTAAAGCTAAGTTGTTATTAATTCAAGCCAGTTTACTGTATATTTAAGATGTTAATTTTAACTTCCATGGTAGCCACTAAGAAAATAGGAAATACCTAGAAAAGGAAATGAGAAATGAACTAATGTACATTACAAAAATTCAACTAAACACAAAATAAGGTAGTAATGAAGGAATTGAATAACAAAATATATGTGACATATAGAAAACAAATGGCAAAATGGCAGAAGCAATTCCAGTAATTACAATTCAAAGGATTTGGGTGAAGGCAATGGGACATAATCATGCCACATTTGGATATGTTGGTGTTTGAGGTTTTCTTTGGGGTGGAGGACATTAGGAGGAGACATCCAGTCAGCATCTGAAGCTTATCATTGAGAGCTAGTAATATAAAATTGGGACTCAACAGCATATTGATCAAAGGTTCTCAACACTGGCTACATATTAAATGCCGTTTTACAAATATCATGCTTAGGAACCCTTCTTCTCCACACTGACATTTTAAAATAGCTCCCCAGTGAATCTAACATGCAGCCAAGATGAAGTGTCATATTATAAGTGGTAACTGGAAATCTTAGGAGTTAACATGATCAGGAGGCAGAGTGCAAAGAGATCAGGGGAACTGGAGAGGAAATTTACTTAGGAAATTTACATACTACTTAGGATGGTAGTCTAGTACACTGTCTAGTACAGTAGCTACTAGCCACACGTGGCTATTTAAATAAATTAAAATGAAATAAAATAAATTCAATTCCTCAGTTGCATTAGCCACATTTTAAGGACTCAGTGGCTACATGTGGCTCATGGTTACTGTATTGGAAAGTATATACATAAAAGATTTTCATCATTGTAGAAAGTTTTATTGGATACTGCCAAATGACCAAAATTTCCCTTCTGTGTCTAAAATGACTATAATACAGGGGACTCTTTGAATTTTAAGGTTAAAATTGTATCTATATTAAAATTTTGATACTTTCTTTTGCATAATATATTTTCATGGCAGTGGATATGTGTGTTTTTATTTTTGTAAGCTTTTTCTTTTACTTCTCTCCAATGTCCAGGGGTGGTTTATATAATCACTGACATCTAGACTAAATAAATGTATTTTATTTTCACTTAGATGAAGACATGTGTAAAGATTATATACACATGTCACTCAACTGTATGGGAGATTTTATTTCCCTCAAGTCACTCAGCTGCATGGGGTCCCTCAAGTCACTCAGCTGCATGGGGGATTTTAAATCTGTTGCTCAACACTCATTATCACCTTGTCAGCATGATGTTACTTGAGGTAGTCAAGGTGAAAGCAGAATGGAATGACACTGGAACAGCAGATAATAAGCAGTGAAATTAGTTAAAAGTCTTGTGTTTGAATATTAGTCTTGGATTGGCTTTAATCCCAGATCCCACAGGCCATCAGAAATGAGCTTGTCCCATTTCCGTTGCCCCTTTATGTGACAATGTTCACACAGGAGCTTATTGGCCAAACTTCCTTAAATGGGGCAAAGGGACTACTTTACAAAATTGTTTTTAAATGATAACAGTTAGGGAATCTGGGTGAAAGGTACATGGGAGTTCTTTTTACTAATTTTATAACTTTTCTATGTCTCTGAAATTATCTCAAAATTGCAAACAATTACTTAAGCCAGCAAACCATGAATATATAAAATCAAACTATATAGCTTAAAATAAAGGAATCTTTAATGTCTTCTTCCCCTATGCATTTTAAAACAAACTCATCCTTAATACACATTTTTATACCCAGTTTTCTTAATATTGTGTAGGATTTTTTCATATGTAATTATCTGTAGTAACACTCTTTTCATATACTGCCCTTCCCACCACCAATTTCTCATGTGGGGAAGTGGCTCTGACAGGTGAAATTGAGACAGTATGCTTTCTACCATCATGTGTTAAAATACCTTACTAAAATGGCTACATAATATTTCACTGGGTCATGTCAGGTATACTACAATGTATTTAACTAGTCTCCAGCTTGGGAATATTTAAGGTTTCTTCCTTGATCTACATTGTTGTAAATGATCCTGAGATAGATATTTCTTCTGTACCTAAATATCTTCACATATATCCAGGTTATTTGCTCAGTATAGCTTCCTAGAAGTCAAGTTACTGGCCCAAAACCTGGGACCATTTTTAAAGCTCTCAATACATACTGCTGAACTTCTTTCTAAATTATTTTATTAATTTACCAGCAGTGGCTTTCTAAGGGGAAAGAAAACATATCAGAAATCTGAGGAAACAATCAACAGTTGACTGGATTAAAAAATGTGGAATAGTATGCAGCCATAAAAAGAAAGAAAGAAATGTCCTTTGCAGCAACATGGGGGGCACTGGAGACCATCATTCTAAATGAACTAACTCAGAAACAGAAAACCATACCATATGTTCTCACTTATAAGTGAGAATGAAGAAATGAGTACACATGAACATAAAGATGGAAATAATAGACACGGGGAACTCCAGAAGGGAAGATGACAGGAGGATAGGGTTGAAAAATTACCTGTCAGGTAGGGTTCACTGTTTGGATAATGGGTATGCTAGAAGCCCATTCCCCACCAGTATGCAATACACTCATATAACAAACAAGCACAGGTATCCCCAAATCTAAAATAAATAAATAAAAAAGAAATCCCAGGAAACAGATGTGAACCTCAGTTTCTTCATGCACAATGTATGATTTATGATCCAAAGTCCGTTCGTTCTCCCTCATACATTCTTAAGATTCTCTGATTCTGTAATAAATGAATAATGTGTCATGAATGAAGCACATTTAAGATGTTCCAACAGATGATACTTTCATCTTGTGAGAAAGATTGAGGAACTTCAACTGGTGGTCTGCAGATGTGGTGAAAATAGCAAGAGAACTCGAATTCAAAGTGGAGCCTGAAGATGTGACTGAATTGTTGTAATCTCATAAAACTTAAATGGATGAAGAGTTGCTTCTTATGGATGAGCTAACAAAGTGGTTTATTGAGATGGAATATATTCCTGGTGAAGAGGCTGTGAAACATTGTTGAGACAACAACAAAAGATTTAGCATATTACATAAACTTAGTTGATAAAACAGTGGCAGGGTTTGAGAGGATTGATTCCAATACCGAAAGAAGATTTACTGCAGGTAAAATGCTATCAAACAGCATTACATGCTACAGAGAAATATTTTATAAAAGGAAGAGTCAATCGATGTGGCAAACTTAATTGTCTTATTTTAAGAAATTGCCACAGCCACTCCAACCTTCAGCAACTACCACCCTTATCAGTCAACCTGATCAGTCAGCAGTCATCAACATTGTGGCAGGACCCTCCACAAGCAAAGAGATTATGACTCACTGAAGACTCAGATAATCGTTAGCATTTTTTAGCAATAAAGTGTTTTTAAATTAAGGTTTGTATATTGTTCTTTAAACATAATGTTACTGCATACTTAATAGGCTAGAATATAGTGTAGATATTTTATATGCATTTTATATGCACTGGGAGATGAAAATGTTTGACTTGCAACATTCACTTTATTGCAATCGTCTGGAACTGAACCCTCAATATCTCCGAGGATGTTTGTATAAGCATTTGAACATCCCTCTGTTTCAGGGCAGGACTTTGTTAAGTGAGTTCCAAATTTACCTGCTTTTTTTTCCAGTTATAAAAATGCATGGAGGATATCAATGTCTTGAGCATTGCTAGCACTAAATGAAATTGTAAAGATCAGTGTTAGCTGAAGTTAATGGGTGGTGGTTAGGAAAGGTATATGAAAGAGGTAGAAATTGAGCTGATTTTCAAAGGCTGGGTAGGATTTAGACAGATATAGGAGTAGAGAAAAATTCTGTTGTATGTTGTATGTGGGGTGGGGATGGAAGTCAAAGGTGAGAAATGGTACTATCTTGGATAGGACAGTGTTTAGGAAAAGGGGGAAGAATGTAGGAATAGGTAAGCTGGACCTACTTTTTGGAGGATATTGAACATTTGGTTGAGAAGCTATGACATGATCTTATAGGCATTGAAGAGATACTCTAGGTTCTTAAAGAAGTGATCAAGAAAGCTGTATGTTATAAGGTGACTCCTGCGGCTGTGTCAATGGTGAACTAGAGTAGGAGAGACTGGGACTGTGTCATAAGTTAATAGATTCTATCTAAAATGGTGGCAGTCTTAATGGAGAAGAAGAGAATTTTAGAGTTATTGCAAAGGAAGATTTTAAAAAGCCTTGGTAATGAATCTAGAGAATGAAGCATAGGGGGAACCTTAAAATGATATTCAGTTTTAAGCCTTGGAGACTGGAAGAGTTATAGTGCTGCTATCTGTGTGACTGAGAAAGGCCATTCACTTTCCAGGAGAATCTGAGTTCCTATTTCTTCATGACTTCCAATATTCTTCAGAGATGCTTAATTTGCTTTTTTGGTTTTCATTTGGCAGAAACTTTTAACATTTTAACTTTGTTTCTCTGCCCCAGAGAGTTCTGCCAAATAATGATCTTAAATGCTTAAATGCACTGAAGAAGTTCTGCTGAGTACTCCTTAATACTGCAATCACCTTCAGTGTGACTATCTCATAAATTTCTCATTTTGCATATTGGGTCCTCTAAAATCAGGTCAACCTTATTGTTACCCAGAGAGTTTTACTTTTGTACAAGGTCATGTTTCCTGCAAAGCTGGTTAATTCCGCACATTCCTGCCTGCACTAACACACATTAACACTTAAAATATTACAGTAGAACAGCTTCAAAATAAATGAGAAAAACTTATCAGGGAACTTACGTGGAAATAATGGTACATACCTCTATTTGTAAATTGGTGCAGTTTAAAAATAGTGTCCTGGGAATTAGGAGACGTGGATTGTAGTACCAGCTCTGCCACTAATTTGAAGTATGAACTTAGGCAAGTCACATTACCACTTCTTTATGTCTTCATTTCCTTTTCTGAAAAATGAGGGGGAAAGACAAGGTGATTATTATCGATGTCAGCCCTAACATCAACTCTTTATTAACATGATAAGTGTTTGCAAAGTATTACCAAAAATTATGGTACTTAGAGACTACTGGGTTAGATACAGCATCAAGTGAGGACACATTTATCAGTTAGCTATTTCTTTTTTCTAGGGAGACAGGCAAATAGGATGATTCAGGCTAAAAGAAATGAAGTTTGAGATTCAGTTATCAGTTTAGGCTCTTTTCTAGATATACTAGATAATCCAGATAGAATCTCAATTCCCTTTGACACTGGGGTAGGGGCAATCCAAGTTAGGATTATAAACCTGTATTCCAAAGGTAGTACATATTGACTCAGAGATGGAGTTGCTCTGATTTTATGAGGTCTATTGACTGTAGCCTCTTGAGTACTGTTTCCCAGAAATAACAATCATACTACTCAAAGCCATCTTAATGAGTTGTTGTGATCAGTGTGATTTCCATCTTAAGGGAAACCAGCCCCAAGATCTTTCCTCTAATAGAAATTCTGAGGAGTATGTTGTTATAAGAGGTTTTCTTCCATTGTGTCCCTTCCAAAAATTAAGACTATTCCGAGAGTCTCTCTATTGCCTACTAATGATTGCTTATGATTCTATCATTCATAACTTAACCTCAGCATTTCAGAAATTTGGATGAAAGATCAACCGGAATTCAGGATGCTCTTTGTGGGCCCTATAAAATATTGCTATAAGTTTAATTTCTTTAAGCGTATAATCTAGTTCTTCAATATCTGCTGAGCCCCCAAGTAAATAAAAGAGCATACTAACACATATAATAGCTCTGCCCAACAAGTTTTCATCTTCTGACTCAATTTAGTCCTCTTTGTCTCATGCTGTCTATTCTGCCACATACCTATTGTATCTACGTTGCTCTACAGATTAAATATTCATGTGAAATGTGTCCTTCTTGGCTGCAAACTTTGGCTTCTTGTAAGTGTTCTGCCTCTCCAACTGCCTCAGGTTACAATTACCCCATCTTGTATCTTTTGCCCTTCAGCCACCATGTTTCCTTTAAGCTCCAGAGAGGATTCTTTCCTTGGGCCCTTTACCAAGTTGGACCATGCTTACAATCCTTTTTAGTGACAGAGACCTTCCCCACTTTAGGTTTCTTCTTGCCTTAGAAAAATTCAGAAATCCAAAGAAGGTACCCTTCAAATTCCAATAGCTGTGGAGATAGGGGAAAAGTCAATTCTGTTCATTTCCCTAGAGTTTTTCAATCTAAATTACTATTAATAGTAGGCATTGAGCGTTTGCCTAAGGTTTGGGGTTAGGAAGTAGGAAGAAAACTTTACTAGGTGAGTGTGAGGCACAGGAAAGGGTGATACAAAGTTTTTATAGGAGTAAGGGGTCAGCAGTGTTCTGCCCCTGGGAACTCAGTGTAGCTGCTTGGGAATTTGCACTGCCTGCTTGCTGCATGGGTCTAACTGCTTTGTACAGGAATTGCTGATTATAGTTAGAGGGGCTTGGTCTGGTTCTGAGCACTCTCCTTCCTCAAAAATCTGGCTCTTCTCACTCCCCTTCCTCAAAGGTTGTATGTATTCCACATATTTACAATTGGATTCTCAAATATCACCCATTTCTAATGCCATTTTTAAATCTTGAGAAAAAAATATTATCTTGAACTTGTCAAAAATGACAATTTCCTCACAAGCCCCATTGTCTTTAGAAAAGTATTCTTCCTAATTTTTTGCTGGTTTCTCATTATGGTCTTCCTTTTCTTTACTTACATAAACTGCTGAACATTTCTAGCTTTTTAATATTTTGGCATGGCTACTGTTGTAAAGGTATTTTAAACTTCTGAGGTCTATAGATGGCCTTCTTATCTTTATCTTCTTTCAATTTTTCCCCCAACATTAGAATGTTGTCCTGGATATTAGCAGGACAAAATGGTTAGCAGCTCATGTGACCTTCGCTGCTAGTGGGTAGTCAGGCCAAGCTAGGAGACACCAGCTATTTTCTTAGTATGTAAAAACTCAGTTCCCATATATGGATATATTGGGAACTGACTTTCTGAAAGTCAATGAAAAAGGCACTTTTTAATTGGAGAATTGCTTCTTTCTCTTTTTAATTTCCCTCCTACATCTATTTCCACTGCCTTTGCCAAGTACATAGCCTATGAGCCAATGACGCAAGGCCTTGTTCTTACTTAGCTACCTACTGTCCATAAAGGTGATAGCCGATTAAAGTGCTTAAAGTATTGCTACTCACAGGAAATACCTTGCCATTTTAATAGAGGATTCTCAGAAATTGAAAAGAGTTCAAGATCTGCAGTAATGAATTTTTAATGGTGTAATTCTGAGAATAATATTTTTCCTTTGGAGAGAGAAAAGTGGTCAAATGCTTGCTTTTTGTATTTTTTAGAGTAGCTTAATTCCCTTAGTGAACAGGGAGCATGCACACATGTCCCTAGGTGGATGAATTCTTCTTGCATACAGGTTTATAGCGATGTTTCCACAGTGATTCTAATCTCCAGAGATAGAAGCAGTAGTGTACTGCAGATTGCTCATACTATCTAACAAGAACAGCTTGTTAAATTTCTGAAATAGTGTAAGCTGTTTTTCAATAGTTATTAAAGATTAAATTATTTCAACTTACAGTTAAATAAATTACATTAAAAACAAAGTAATACTGAAAACAAAGTAATTTCCTATTTATTTTACTTGATTTATAGGAGAATCTGTACTCCTGAGGTTATTTATATCTATTTTATTACATATGTTACAGAAATATTACATATGTTGTTAACTTGAAATTGGACATAGTGGGAGTATATATACAATATACATTGACAAATGCTACAAATTAGTGTTTTCTTGACAGTGTAAGATTAAAGAAGTGATGGGGAAAATAATAATGCATATTAAACTTAAAAGTGTGTCATGGAGGGGATTTATACTTCTAGCTAAAATACAGTAACAGGGACTAAATTTATCCTCCTACTTGAAACAACTAAAAAATAAAAGAAAACATATAGCCTCAGGACATAGGGCGTTAGCCAATGAAAAGCAGTGGTCTCTGAGAGATGCACAAGAGTGCCAAGACCATTCAGTGTGGATAAAATAGTGTTTTTAAAGAAATGTTGCTGAGATAACTGGTTATCCATATGCAAAATTACAAGAACTAAATAAAAATGAATAAATGATTTAAGTGTAAGAGCTAAAACCCATGAAACTCTTAGAATAAAACACGAGAGTAAATCTACATGACCTTGGATTTGGTGAAGGATTTTTGCATGGTAACAAAAGTAAAAATAGACAAATTAGGCTTTATCAAAATTGAAAACTTCTATGTTTCAAAGGACACTACCAATAAAGTGAAAAGACAACCCACAGGATGAAAGAAAATATTTGAAAGAAAGTCATATATCTGATAAGGGATTTATATGTAGAATACGCATAGAACACTTACAACTCAATAATAAAGACAACCTAATTTAAAAGTGGGCAAAGAATTCAAATACTCATTTCTCCAATGAATATAGATATACGAATGACCAACAATAAAAAGATGTTCAACATCATTAGTCTTTAGGCAAATGCAAATTAAGGAGAAGCTACTTTACACCCACTAAGATGGCTATAATAAAAAATGTTAGAAAATAACAAGTATTGATGAGAATGTGAAGAAACCAGAACCCTCGTATACAGTTCTTGACAATAAAATGGAGCATTCACTTTGGAAAACAGTCTGACAGTTCCTCAAATGGGTAAATAGAGTTAAAATATGATCCAGCAATTCCAGACTTAGGTATACACTCAAGGAAAATGAAAACATATGTTTATGTAAAAACACACACACCTGTTTATAGCAGCATTATTCATCATAGCTAAAAGTTAGAAACAACCCACATTTCCATCAACTGATAAGTGGATAAACAAAGTGCAGTGTATCTGTACTATATTATTTTTCCATAAAAGAAATGAAGTACAGATATATGTAACAACATGAATGAACATTGAGAATATCAGGTTTAGTGAACGAACCCAATCACAAAAAAAGCACATAATATATGAGTCCATTTTGGTAAAATGTTTAGAATAGGCAAATCTATAGAGACAGAAGGTAGATTATTGGTTGCTAAGGTCTGAGGGAGATAAAGGACTTGACAGGTGATAGGTAAAGGCTATGTGGTTGCTTTTTGAGATGAAGAAAATGTTCTAAAATTTGCTATTGCATATATCTGTGAATATACTAAAAGACACTGAATTGTATACACTTTAGCAGGCACTTTACATGTATTCACCTTAGCAAGTACTTTACATGTGAATTACACCTCAATTAAAACTGTTAAAAGATATAAGGTAAGCAGAAATATTAAAGATTTTTTTAAAAGGACCTAAATTGAACTTTTAGAGATGAAAAGAACAATCTCTAAAGCTAGTAGTGTACTACATCAGATTGATGGTGACAATGAAGAAGAAACATTTGAATAATAGCAATAAACATATCCAAAGTAAAGCAAACAGAAGCAAAAGAAAAAAATATCTGTGAGCTAGGACAACTTCATTGAAGCAGCATATGTGTAATTGGATCGACCATAGGCGAAGAGTAAAAGGGGTTGACAAAGAAGGTATTTGAAAAATAGTGGTTAAAATACCTTTTAAATTGTATGAAAAACAAACAACCCCATTCAAAAGTGGGCAAAGGATATGAACAGACAGTTTTCAAAAGAGGTCATATATGGGGCCAACAAACATATGAAAAAATGACCATCATCACTGGTCATTAGACAAATGCAAATCAAAACCACACTGAGATATCATCTCATGCCAGTTAGAATGGGGATCATTCAAAAATGATTTATCAGGAGACAACAGATGCTAGAGAGGATGTGGAGAAATAGGAACACTCTTACACAGTTGCTGGGAGTGTAAATTTGTTCAACCATTGTGAAAGACAGTGTGGCAATTTCTCAAGGATCTAGAAATAGAAATTCCATTTGACCCAGCAATC